GAGATTAACTTATGAGAGATTAACTTATGAGAGATTAACTTATGAGAGATTAACTTATGAGAAATAATTAAATTTGCTTTTGAAATTTCTTCTTTCAGCTTTGAAACTAAAAAAAGATATCCGCTAAGTAAATGCTATTGCTCGTATTGTTTCTCTTGGAATATAATAATATACTTATGGTTTATTTCGGGTTAATATAACAGATAGATTGTTTGCTGACTTACATGCTTCCATTTTTAGTTTACATTTTTGCTTATCCATTGGAAAGTTTCGAAGATCCATGGAGCACTGTGACGTCACTTTCAACCTGGTACAGAATTCAGAAAACGTAAATTGCCGATTTTGCTAAACAAGTTTTACTAAAGCTACGGACTCACGATGCAACACTGCGCGCAATGTTGCATGCAATTGATGTTGCGAGCCATGACACACGACGCAATTTGTTGCACGCAACGTTGCTGAAGTAGAAAACTATCCTACTTCAGCAACATTGCCTGCAATTGGAATTGCAATGTTGCGCGCAATATTGCACCGTGTGTCCGTGCCTTATAAGCATATGCTAGTATCAGATCACTCACACATGGAGCAATGAAGGATAACTTTATCATGCATGCATGGGTATTGTGAGAACATCAGGTTCATCTTCTATTGAGTCAAGAACGTAGGTACGTACCTCATGCTATATAGAATAGTTCCATTCGGGAATATTCTAATAACTTCATTAGTAGCGGTAATATCATGTTTGGCTCCATCCTTGATTCCCGGAAAGTGAGTATCTGGAACCCAGATGAATTTGAGCATATCTGGATTGAAGGACAATCTCTTTTTGTATTCACTGTCTTTATAAGCAAGTCGTGGGTCATCCCAGTATTGACGAAAGTACAAAATAGTGGTGAATTCCTAAAGAAAACAGAGAACATGTGAGTATGGATGATAAGGTAACCACATAAAGTATTGAATCTCGTAGCCGTGATCCTCTTCGTTACAGTGCGGACTCTTGAAACATCAACATTTCTAGGTTTATTTTGGCATTTTTTTGAATGATCCAATCATAAGCTAGTTTCATAACGATGCTCGTACAATATCTGCACGCGATCCCAGTTTCTCGTGTTAGTGTCGTAACTGAGTTTTTAAAAATTGTAAACAATTGTTTTCTGCTGTCGATTTACTTAATGAAGAGTCGATTTGTTTCTAAACATGAAGTAGAATGTTAATCAATCAGGGCCGTCTTCCAGATCTAGTTCCAAGACGTAATAGTAAGTCTTATGACGCGCGATGAATAAGTAGAGTGATTTTCATGACTGATAGAAACATTTTCCTATAGAACTTTGTTTGGCTGATTTTTTTCTCTCTAATGTAGTTGGGTTGGCGTACTACGGCAGTGTGTTCATGCCGTGTTTCGGGTATTTGATTGAATGAAGAGTAAATTCACAGGAAATGTGATTGGTCTAGTGACGTATACCTTGCTGTGTCACGACCGCGTTCATACCACGACCTCTTTTTAGTTATACAAAAAAACCCAAGGATCCAGGGATGGTTCTCTATTGCTTACATGGAACCCCTCTTTGACAAACTGATTATGTTTTTTACGCTCAGTAAATTGACATTGATTCAAACTATGGCTTGTCCTTTATAAAATGCAGGAACTATCCGGTAACAGTTTTTCTCAAGTCCTCCGTCAACGTAACGGTTTTCATTTTTTGCGTATTGGGGGGCAACTGACTTGCACAACATCCCTGATTAGCGTGCAATAGGACTTAACCAGCGTCTCTGCTCAGGGAGTGTCAATTTCAAATTTTCATAGAAAGGATTCGAAATTTTTGAACCAGCGGTAAATGGAAAGTTATGATCAGTCTTTTCCTCCATTGAAACTGACTCTAGTCCATTGCCACGTGGGATGACCGGTCTTTCTGATGAACAATCAATCAAAATTGATAAAACTTAAAAAACTGTTCTTACCATGTTAATCTCGTCGATATCACCAATGAACTCGATGAAAGTTGTTATAGTCACATTAACTGGAGGCCCTAAAAAAACAACACCAAAAACACATACTTTTATAAACTATTTTGTTTTGGTATAAATTTGGCTGAAAGTGATATTTAATATACACATCGATAAAAATGTGCTTTTGTGCATTCCAACTAAAACACAATTTGATTACTTGTGCCTTTCTTTGCAGTCACGCATGTGTTTGATTAGTTATCAATTCATGTTTCAAGTGCAATTAAATGCTTTTCTTATCAATTTTTTCTCTCGCGATAACATTTTACTTGTCAATTTAAACGTAGGAATCACAAAGGCAGAGCCTGAATTAAGCAAATGTTAAATTACCTCCAAAATTAGGCCTAAGTCGTTTGTCATATCCCAAGAGTAGGCTATTCAAAAACTCAGTAACGTTGATGTTACTAGCTGAAGGAGATGGAGCTGGAGCTGGCAATGGACTGTGGGTTGATTTTGAGATGGTAATGTTAATTCCACTGCTTGAAAATAACGTCAATATTAATCTACATTAGTATTTTTACACAAGTAAAAATAATAAATCCGGTACGCTCATTGGTCAAAATTTACGTCTTATGCTGATATATACACCTGCAGGTCGTTTTTCCATCGCGATTTGTGCCGCTTGCGGAGATAAATAAAATTTGATCATTTTCAGTTATTTATTAAATTAACTTGTGTTAAAAATGCTTAGACAATTATTCGCCTCAGGCTCAGTGAATATCGGGGAATATTTACCTCGCCTGATATTCACTGAGCATGAGGCGAATAATTGTTATTTATTAAATAACTATGATATATTGTGCGCTGTGATTGGTTGAAATGCGTGTCAGTATGCAATGATATAAATATAAACAGAGTGACTTCATGTGATGATCAGGAGAGAGTACGCGTTTTCAAAATCAGTGATTTGAATTCCACATTAAGAAATGTCTGACATTTTTTTACCACGTAAATATAGACATTTTTTTATTCCCTCCGCCTGGGGCCCGAGAAACACAGAACTAAAGGGACGTTTCAGTTTTCTTAAAAAATTATCACGCAACCTTATCTTTCAGTAAAGAAATACCGTAAAACAGAGAAAAAAATAAAGGCATAAAGGCGTTCAGGGGTTGTTACACAAAAGTAAATATCTTGTAAAATAAATCCCTGCAACCCCCCTCCCCCCTACCCAATTATCTAATGGTCCATCCCTCATCGCGTTTAGTTCGCGGGTGTGAAGCTTCTCCAGACTAGCCTGGGCCGACTAAAAGTTGCGGTTTCAGTGTGACGTCTATAATGGCTCAGAATTTTGACATGTGATTGGATGTTTTTGCCGTGGAAAAGTTTGTTAAAATAAATGTGAATTAGCATTCAAGTTTACAAACAGTACGTGTACAAACAAGCAAAATAATTCAGAAAATATTTCCCCTTATAGAATAGAGTTTTCATAGTTTGATCAATAACAGGATTCGATTAGATGATGTGTTTGGCAGAAATAAATATTTAATGTGTATCGGTTTCATCGACGTAGCAACTCTTCATTGTCTTCGTTCAACTAGAAAAGTTTTATTTAACATTTCAATGGTCTGTTTTATCAACAAAACTGCAGTTTGAAAGTGATTTCTCTAACGTTTTGAATAATAAGTTGTGTGCTTCCAACATGCACTTTGAATAGATATATGTATATACAATAACGAGTTTGCAGTTGGTATGACATTAATTATTTCTAAAAGTCAAATATATACCGGAAATTATAACATCAAAACAATTACAGATGAACTTAAGATGTTTTTTTTTTAAGTATTGAAGGTGAACGCCCAGAAAATAATTGCAGGTGTAGAACTACAAAGTTAAAAATCAGCTTAGTACTTTGAGGTACTAGGCCTAGATTGAGAAGCTACCAAGAAAACAGACTTAGATAATATATTTCTGGGCCTTAACTGGTCAATGCAGGTGTTAAAAAATTCAGTTTTAGAGCTCAAATGATGGAATAAAATTGTAAAGTTGTATTGAGTTTTGATTCTTAATGAATAAACATTGTCAATTTAACAAGTTGCGAAATCAAATTCCATTTCCATTTTATTTCTTATCGACCAAACCTCACTGCATTGATAACGAATGTCCATACGTTTGAAGTGCTCTTGTATAGATCTGGGTGTTATTCTTAGAAAACCAAGCTTATCCTATATCGAACGAGCCGAAAATATAGCGGATTCATCTTGTAGTTACTACTTGAAGAGGATCTCTATACTTGTAGATTATATCTTCAATCATTTCAATTACCCTAAGTTCGCTTTAGATTTCTCAACCAAGTAATGCTAAGTTTAAGATTATCAACAAACAACTTGATGGGAAGATTACGTACCTGGAAGTGTTTTGCACTTCCGCAGCTTCAATGTGGCTGGCAAGGAAGAGGAGGGTAAGAGACGAAACAAGAAAAGACCTCATGTTTAGTGAAACGAGTGATCCAAGCTTAAGGGAGCGGTCTTGCCAAGTGATTTCTTGATTATTCCCTTTGCATATTTATCTTGTCCGTGAAACAGGTGCAAAAAGCGTTGATTTTCGATTGCATATTATAATGATCTCAATGATCGCAGTTATATCAGCCAATGCACAACACTTTCAAATTAAATGCGCCAAAATTCACAGCGTTTGGTTTTGTCTTAGCCCCAGGAGTCCAGAACTGGAACAAAGAACCAATGTGGATTTCGTTAGCTTCTTGAATAATATAAACACACAGTAGTCAGCCATCAACAACATCGATCGACTTGGAATCTTTTTTCAAAACAGGTTAAACTTTTTCGTTTTTGATATTATTTTCAAGATCCAAGTACATACCAGAAAGTACACCAAACCCCCAAAAAATCAATCTTTAATCTTAAGATTCTGAACGGGCTGTACTAATCTGAATGCTTGACTCTCAAATTAAAGTGATTAATACTGTCCTGAAAGATAAGGTCATTAAAGAAAGGTGCTTTATTTAAGTACACAAAGCCAACATAGAAAATCAAGAATCAAGAATGTTGTATAAAGTGTTCTGGTTTTGTCAATGGTTTTCTTTAGTCATCACATGCAGATGGAAGCAAACCTTTTTTTTCCTAATTAAAACCCTCGCTTTCCAAAATATAGAATGAATAAAAAAATGTGTTTACAAAGTCGTTATGGATACCTTTTCAATTCGGGTAGCAAACACGGTATTTAAAGTATTTTGAGAAAGAACAATAATAGAAACAAAACAAGTATTCTCAGCTAGGTTCAGCGATGTAACTAGCGGATTCTTGTCAACGATATTATTAGTTGAACGAAAAGATTGTTATACCTTCTTTAACACAAAAATATTTTCTAATGTCGTCTCTGTAAAATATTTTCTGTACTCAGATACTTAAAAAATAAAATGAAAGAGATATCAAAACACCCGCATCCAATTTGTATTCAAATTTGAACCAAACTTTTCGCAGCTACTGAGCTAATTATAAATGGATGAACCTGCTTCACATGATCTCGTAGCAATCATTTCTATACGCGCTAAAACACTCACAGTTATGCAAATTCTAAATGATTTTGTTATATAAAAGGTAAAATGAAGTAATTTCAAGTTAATTTTTTAGTTTTAACATTATTAAACATTGATTCCTTGCATACTGCACAACACTATTGCCCCCCTTTTTTTCTCGTAATACGATGAAAGACGTCTTCAATCAAAACCAAATAAAATTCCCGATCCATGGCATTACTGGCGAACAAGCGAGACTGTTGCTCGAATGACACTTGTAAGCTCACCTCAATAAAAGTTTTATCGATAGAAATGTGTACTACATCAACTGATTCATTTGCCATCTTATGTTATCTTTTGGCTTGAACAAAAACATCTCGGTTATCTATATCCTTTGTCCTTTGAGATCAGTTAAACAACGCGATCATCATTATTGTACTATTTATGGTACGATTTTCATTCTCTAGGTTATTTTCACGTACAGTAAGAAACCGGTTTTTGAAAACTGTTTCAAAGAAAAACATTCGTGTGGAAGCCTTCTTTTGGGAAAAAGTAAATTCCGTTGGATAATAAATAATTTATGATGAGACATTTTAGGGTTCAGTACGGTTGGACATTTTTAGTCTCGTGTTTCTATATCCACCCATACTGCACCCTTAAATCAGTGTCTAATAAGATATATTTAAGGAGAAATTCTCATATACGAAAAAATACAATCCTTTAAAAGTCTAAAATCATTTGCATTACTTTAACGGTTCCAGCCACCCAAGAATAATCATTGCCAAAACATCTTCATTCTCACCTGTCAGACTATGAGATTTTTTGAAGAAACGCTAGAACATTTCCGTAAACAATATATACGACTGAGAAATGTCGTTATTTTGACCTTGAAGGTTTCAGCTTGAATTGATGAAAAGGAATGTATGCAGTTCAACACTTGTTACTGATTCCTTCTAACAGACTAGATATTGTAACATTCGAATCTCCTGAACAAAATGTGAAATTTGATCGCTTCAAGAGCTTTCTGACTTCACTTGGTTTATCAGTATTTTCCCTATGTATGGTAATGTGAATACTGCTTGCCATGAGGACGTTTTGAAAACCCCACTCGTTTCTATCAAATTGGGGGTAGGTTTGAGGTTAGGTTGAAGCCGGTAGGATTTTATTTCCATTTGTAGTTACCAGGCTTTTAAACAACTACTGTATACAACTTTTCTATTCAATTTACTATCTTCACTGTCGCTGCACTCAAAATGACAAATACTTTTATCTATTGTGTATAAAGGCTTGCAGCGAATACAATGTCTCTCCTTATCGAGGCTGAAGCATCTTCCATCTTCTTATACAACGTAGGATCACCAATTATTCTTGCAGCATTCCGTACGTCTCGGCAAGTCTCATCTAAACGCTGAATACATCGCACGATTATACCTGTTAATGAACATTAATAATACATTAAAATAATACTTTCATGCAGAACAATCTTCCTTGTTGTCCGCAATATCAAGGGTTTCTGCAACTTTCTCAAGTTAGTAACTAATTTCTCACAGTCTAGTCTTATACATGAAAAATAAGCAAATATAATTCCATACAGCCCCCCTCTGTTTAAAAGCTCACTGTTGTGTTGTATGACTAACCTTCCTGAACATCAGTCATATTAATAATCTCGGAGAAGGGTGTTCCACGTGACCACTCATAAACCACTTCAACCAAGCCAAAGTAAAACTGTTCTTTGAATTCCTCTTCAGACGTAACGAGCCCACACTCGGTCTGCGCAGCGGCTATCGTTCCAGCAATAGAAAGAATTCGTCCTTTTCCCTAGAAACATAAAATTAAGAGATGCTTATCGGTGGGAACTGAGGAACAGCCGAATACTTTCCAATGGTGCATGGGATCAAATATATTGATGTCAGTCACACAACCACATACCCACCTCTTCTAGAGTTTTTGTAAAGTTGGGTTCACTGCAGCGACGTTGTTGGAACACAAAACAGGACAAAAGAGCAGCAATTTCTGTATGGTGCAAATCTGTCAACAAGTTGTGAAAGACGAGTTCTGTTATCATTAACTCGTGGTTACTTATTTCACAAGCGACGCGACCTTTCAATTGTACCCGATTGTTTGTGTCCAAATATCGAAGTTTTTTCAGAACCTGCATAAAGGAAAACATTTCAATCATTTGCCATTCTTATTGTTCCATCACAGCGCAAAGTAATTCAAATATTTTTACCATCACAAAGTAAATTTATGCCGCGCATGAAAATGAAATATCAATATTCGAAAAAATCTTACTACCGTATTTCTTCTATTAAGCTCCCTGCAAGCTTATTCATTTTTGATGCTTTTGGACAAGGCCCTTATTAGAAGGGGTGCTTATTAAAGGCTGGAGGCTTAATAAAAGAAAATACGAGATAAAGGAATCATGGATACCTCTATTCTTTGATTGTACTCTTTAATAAGTTGCAGACTGTCATCTGACAGCAGAAACTGTAAGTGGTTCAGATTTTCTCTGAGAGTAATTTCGTTTCGCACAAGAGAGAACTGGAAATGAAATGGATAAAATCATGAGGAAATTTAAATAACATTAAATCTAATTTAAAAACCAACCACGTCCCATTTTTATTGTTTGATGTCGGGTTTGAATTTTGAATGAAATCCTGTTCCAGGTTTTGAATTCAGCATTATTGATACTAACAGGGGAAGGCGGGGCTGAATTCAAAACCCGGGACAGGTTTTCCATCGAAATTCAAACCCTCCATCAAACATTAAAAATAGGACTTGGTTGTTTGCGGCCCTCGGTCTTGAATTTCATTGCAAACCCTCGCCCTAGCGTTTTAACCTTTATATAACGACTCTTTTCGGAGGACTTTTAGGGATAAAATAACCGCAGATAATTGAAGATAATATATCCCCTGAATTTGTTAAAATGACTACACAACATTAAGGTCTGGCACAAGTCGAACTTAAGGTGACTGCCTACTTTTGGAAAAAAACCTTTTAGCTTTTTTTTAAAACTACATTCTTTTAAAGTGAAATTTAATGCTGATTCCGAATATGAAAAGAAAAATGGGATGTTACGAGCYTGTTTTCGAGATAATCGGCATTTAAAGCGTGAACTTTTGGAGCAAAAATTGCGCCCTCGGAAGTGATCAGAAAAAAAATTAAGATTCGCAAGATAATATCAATTTGCAGAATCTACGATTGCACGAATCACGGCTAGTCCATCATTCTACAATATTACGTGGATATTTTCGACAAAAAGACAAAGAAATACATTGATTTGTCATATTTTGTCGTTTCGGTGCTCTTAAATAATCTGAAAGTCGAAAACCCGACAAAAATCAATTTTTTCATGTATTAGAAAAATTAACTTTTTAGGAGTTTGTTTCGAATAAGCTATTTAAATAAATAAAGAGTCCCGTGCAAAATTTGATGGTTTTGCCCTGTTGAAGCTCAAAACGTGTATGGGTCTTCAATAAAATCTTGTAGATTTTTCAGGGTTTTCGAGTGCGCACACGTCGTGGGCTCAAATCGAACGTTCAAAAGTAGGCAGTCACTTTAAACAATGAAAGCGTACATGTTGTTTACGTTATAAATGGACAAACCTTGGGTGTACTTCAGTGGCTATCAATTAACATACGTACATGTTATTTACGTTATAAATGGACAAACCTTGGGTGTACTTCAGTGACCATTGACATACGTACATGTCGTTTACGTTATAAATGGACAAACCTTGGGTGTACTTCAGTGACCATTAACATACGTACATGTTGTTTACGTTATAAATGGACAAACCTTGGGTGTACTTCAGTGACTATTAACATACGTACATGTTTTTTACGTTATAA